TAACTGTCAGACAACCCTTGAAGATTGTTTTCTTATGCCGAGGGGCTGCATCCATCCAACGAGCCCGGCCCGAAAAGTTTTTGCACAAAAGGCGAGTTAAGCTTTTGTGACTGCAATGAAGGGCCAGGATGAGGCGACAGGGACACAGAATCTGGGAGGGAGCCCGGGCAGCGCAGGACGGGGCCTGGCACGGCGACAGCTGACAGCCAACAACTCATGCACACACAGTGAAAACTGAAGGCATAATTTATGCCTTCAAAGTGGATTGTTCAAAGAAAACTTGGAACATTTTTCCCCTGAACAACAGCAGCAGCCCGAGCACGTCCTGTCCTCAGCCTCGTCCTCTGCCTCAGCCTCAGCCTCTGCCTCATCCTCGGTTCGTTCTTGTCAACATTGAGAACAATAAAGTCGAAAAACAAGATGAATAGCTCAGGCCCAGTCCCTGACGACGAATTGGATATGCTCTGTACCTTGTTTGGCTGCAGTAGAGATCTGAAGGGTTTTCTTTGGGTGTTCCCCTGAGAGTGGCAGGAAATCGTGTTTTTGATTGAATGGAAATCATAAAAGAGAAGAAAATAAGTGTAGGAAATAATTAAATATTTTCTTTACATTTACAAAATTACTGTGTAATTTTTGTTAGCACCCTAAAAGAAACTTCACTTGACTAGAATCATCTAGCAAATAAAAAGATGGGGAAATTCAAAAATTAAAAATTATATTTTTAAAATTTATTTATCACTATAAAGCTGCAAATATTCGATGTGAAGAAAAACACAAGATGACTTGAAAAAGATTCAAAAGTCACTGGAAGGCGGCTGTAAAAATGGAGCCTTACAAAAGGGCATACAAAATCCTTTGAAAACTTTTTCCAGAGGAAGATGGTTTTTGTGTGTGTTTTCGGTCATGACAAAATAAAATACCAGAAAAGGAATAAAAACTCAACTGAAACTGAAAATGTGAAACAAAGCGATGTGCGGCTACAGAAACACAACACAAAACCAGGACAGAGCCAGCACCAGAACCAGAACAAAAAAACCAGAACCCAAACTCAAACCCAAACCCAGCCCAGAAAGGAGACTCATTCATTCCCCCAATTTCGTTCGGTGTTCAAACAGAATCGCTCGAGACCACAGAAGATTCCCTGGAAATGGGGCAGGCTGGGACGGGGATGGACGGGCCTCTCCAGGATGGGGCCCGGCATGAATGGGCAAAACTCACGCACAGCCGGCACGCCCTCTCCGACCCCTGAAATGTTATTTTAACTACATTTTGGCTTTTTTATGGCGCTTCTTCCGCCCCACCGCCACAAAACTTTATCTTGGTCTGGCCTTATGGCGAAATATTGTACATTTATTAATACATAATCATTTTCGGTTCGGCAACATGAGAACTGGCCAGGCCGGACAGCCACATGGAGATGAGAGCCGAGCCGGACCCTCTAAGGGTCCCCATGGAAAACATTCTTCTCTGCTGGGCTCTCGCCCATTGAAAATAAAGCAGTAAAATAGTAATAGATATGAGAGCTCCTGCGGGTATCTCTCAGGTCTATTGTTGGCTTAGCTGTAGCTGCCGGATTGTACGTGTTGTTCGGTTCGGTTCGGTTTGGATCGGATCGGATCGGGTTCTGGGAAATCCAACCTAGTTAGTGAATTCTGAGCCCACTGCCCGAAAAATGTGTGTTTCTGGTTTTTTGTTTATTTTTTTTTTTGTTTTTTTTGTGTATTTTATTCCCAGTTTTCTCATATTTGGTTCTGCTTTTGTTTCCAACTGGTTGCTTAGTTGTGCAGAAAGGCCGATATAAATTGTTCTTCATGTTTTCGTTGCTCTGCTGCCGGTTTTGCTTCGGGGGCTAACTAGAAAAAGTTGTCTGTCCGTCTGCTGGGCTGGTTCTGCGAAATGCGAGTGTACTCCTAACCTACCGGGTATTGTCTGAACATGCCTGATAAATATTTTCATATGAATACATTAATCTGGGAATTAGTTATGAAGGCAGTCGCCTGAAGTGTTCCTGTCATGGAATTTGATACACCATCAGCCACGAAGGAGTATGAAGACAGATTATGCAACATACCAGCAGGGAGAAAGTAAAGTCAATAGAGATAAGAATGGTATAGCACTGGAAACTACGGCTTAAGAGAAAACCCAAAGAAACCCGACCAGGGATGATCGATTTACTTGACCATTTCCTACAAACCTGTTGGTCCAAAAACCACTTTCAAGAATACGCTGGTAGGGCTTTCAATACGAATCATCTTTCCTAGGAAAGCCCCTTGGCATACTGAAAGCCATTTGAAACTATTACATATACTTTACACTGGAATTAGGTCTACAAACTTTAAGTGACAGATACTTCGTGATCTCATTTACCTTTAATATGGTTCATTATTTATAACGATAGCAGAAATACCCCAATTATGTTAATTTTCTAGTACCATTCAATCCGCTCATCTATTCGTGGCTGGCTATTCGCAAATCACTTCCGGCCATCTGCAAACCGTTCGCAATTAGATAAAGATTCCAAATACAGATTCAGATTGGGACTATAATCACGGCCTGGGATCCCATTAGGCGAAGCTCCGACTGCGGCAGTTCCGTTCCTGTCGAAATTGCCCAGAAAAGCAACAATCGAGAAAGAAATGCTAATGAGAGGTGGACAATGGAAACGGTTCCCCAGGTCCATGTCCAGGCCATTGTTGCAAGGCCGCCTCTGGATGACTGCTTGACTGAATGACCGAATGAATGAGTGCCACCAGGGGTGGGGGGGAGACGACACAACGACACTCTCTTCATGGAGTGCGACGCACATTTCAATTGAAACCGTTTCTGGCCTGGACAGCTCAAGGAAATGCCGGGGAATGGTGGCTCTCGGCTCTGAGTTACCTTTCAAATTGATGAACAGCAACAAAAGGCTGGCCCCAGACAAAGGAAAAACCCGAGCATAGAAAAAGACTTTCAAAGTTTTCAGTTCAGGCAACAATGTCGCCATATATGTACGTACGTGTGAGAGTGTGAGTGTGTTTTATACTATATATATTTTTCTTTCTTTTGCGAAATTAATGAACTATTCAAATGTCAAAGGATCTGTGAAAGAAACGACGAACAGTTGGTGACAACAAAACGGGCCAACAATAAAAATGAGTCCAGCTCTGGCTCTGGCTTTGGCTTTGGCTTTGGGTTCAGGCTCACGGATTCAGACTCGGAGAGAGAAATCCATAAAAAGATTTTTTCCTCGCGACGTTTTATGAGGTTCCCCTTCCCCTCCCCCCACCGCTCAGTGTGTCTCTCTATAGGGGCATGGGTATGGGTATGCGCTTTTACAAAATTCAAAAAGCAATTTACAAAAGGCATCGTGAAAGGCGATACGCTCAGGCAGCGAGCGTCTCTCCGACCCGGGGCTCGGAACTCTCGAGCTCTAAGTGCCACTAAAGGACGAGGGCGGTGAAGCGCAACGAAATGCCTGCTTGAGAGCAGGTCCCAGGCTCCTCATCAGCATCAGCATCATCAGCAGCAGCAGCATCAGAGCCTGCACTGAACTGAACCGAACTGAGATCTGAGCTCTGAGGTCTTGGCCTCGGCTGAAACATACGTAAATGAGTCGTCCCCTGTCGCCCACTGTTGTTTGTCCCGGCCGGGCCGACTCTGTTTTTATTATCATTGCGTTTTATAGACAGTTTTACGAGCTAACGAAAGTGGTTCTGCCTGCCAGAGACGTGGACGGACCCAGGGAGAGATAATGCCCCTCGATCCGAATGCCGACATATTTTGGGTTTTTACGATCTCGCGCCGCCGCCTTTGCCTTTGCTTTTGCCTTTGCGCTGCCATTGTGCGAGTGAGTATATTGGGCAAATTGTAAATCACACTTGCCTATGGGGGCTTCGCACAGCGACAGGCGTACAGTTGGACAGCGAACAGTCAGACAGCAATGTATTGCCCCACATTGGGGCCCGGACCCCCCCGACACACACACTCACACACACACACGATAAAGCATCGCACATAAGATGTATATTAGCGTGTCTGTTAAATTGTTTTTAGTTGCCGACGCGTCTGCAAATGAGCCATTGTTCAAAAGGAGTAGGGAGCAGGGGTGGCCTGGGTACACGGGGTAACTGGGAGTACTTAAGACTTGGCATTAAAGCGCTTTAATTGTTGCTACTTCCACATGTGGGCTGTAGGCTGTGTGCTGTGTGTGTTTGCCCTCGCACTGGTATTTGTGTGTGAACTCGTTCTCGTCTGTTGCTGAGGTTGCATTGCGAAATGGTTTCATGCATCTGCAACAAACAAACATGCTTGCAAGGAAGGGGCACCCTGCCATTGTGTGCTGGTGCTAACAGTGGGGCGGCATGGGGCATGCGGCAAGGGGCATGCGGCAGAGGATGGTGTGAACTCGCAGAGTCGTTCGAAGCTCGTAACTCCCCGCAATGTTCGATAATTTACAAAGTGCAAAAGTTCTCAATTTGTGGAGCGGATCGTTTGTTTCTCATGTACGACGTGATGAGGGATCGAATAGATTGCTTAGATTTTATAGAAAGATAAATTTAGATACCAAAACAGACAACATGACTTCCTCTTCAGTTCGTTTCTAAATCGTAGTTGCAACTTTAAAGGAAAATATAACTATATGCAGATATTCTATGAGATATTGTATCGAATAAGGTTCCTGGAACTTCCTCTACCAATCAATTAGCTGTCAATTTGTATACACATACATCTATCTATTGTACGTAAGATATTATACTCAGATCGGCGCGAGCGAGCAAAGCGAGTGTGCAGGGGGCCTTTCCCCCTAGTATTATCTAGTAAAGATACATTCCTGTATCGTTCGGACAATCAGAAAGAACATTTTTGTTCCAGAAATCCAAAGTTTTAATAAGTTCAATGAAAGTTGCAGTTATATAGCTTACAAAAATTATATTCTGCATACAGATTCCTGTGAATTTATAATCATATCAAACACAGTCTTTGCCAATAAACTGTCACATAACTCTCGTCCAAATGGAGCTGGTATAGAAGCACCTACCTTCTAAAGACTTCCTCTATAAATCAAAATTGTCACTTCTTATAGTCCCCCCTCCGTTGAACCGCTTTGATGTTTGTATCTTCTAGCAGGCACAAATCCCTCACTCAACGTTCAGTCTTCCCCGCAGCAACTCATCCGACAACACCATAGTTCTACGTATCCTCTGTGGTAGTCATCTCGCTGCCCCAATCCCAGAGCCAGGGCAAAAGTGTGAGTGGGAAATGTTTTCTAAGTATCTGCTAATTGTGCTGCATGCATTTTTAATGTCATTTACCTTTTGGAACCGCTTGTGCCCTCGGTTGGTTTCTAATTAAAATGCACACCAACGGACGACAGAAGGTGGGTGGCAGGGGTGCAGGGCGGCCAAGAGTCAGCATCTTCTTCATTATCAACAACTTTCAACCTCATCAAAACGACTGGCACTTGGGAAATTAATTGCTGACTCTGACTCATGCCACTTGCACTCTCATCGGGCTCCCAGCACCCAGCACCCATCTTCAATCTTCGCATCGTCCATCCTCTGGCTCTTGAAGATACTCGACACGTTGGCGCAATAAAAATAAAACTCATTACGATAAATTGCATAAGGAAAGAGGAAAAAAAAGAGAAAAAAAACGAGGCAGTAACAGAAAAAGAAAACCCAGAAAAGGTCGCTGCAGTGATTCAAAGGAAATTCTCAAAAGTCGTTTCAATTAATATTTGATTCGCTGGTCACTCGACTCATCATTCGCCTCAATTCAAAGCGAAACTCAAAGGCGAATTACATTTTCGTTTTCGTTTTCATTTGAATTTTGAATTCGTGGACATCTGCCTGTAGCGTAGCTGTGGATGTATCTGTATCTGTAATTAAGCAAAAAGGAATCCGAAATCAGAAGCAAGTTTGTGCAATCGCTGCTTTGGCTTCAATGGAATCAGGTTTGCAAATTTTCTTTCACATCAATGACACAATCCAATGAGCATAAATTCTCTCCCCCCCCCCTGCCACCCTTCCCAGTCGAACTCCAAGTCCGAGACCGAGAGTCCCAGGGCGACCTTCCGTTGATTATTTGAAAACTTTTGCATAATTTACAATTTATGATTTTGCGTAATTTATTGTACGTGCCTCAATTTATGCATAAAATGTTGAACAAAACGCTTCATTAATCAGGGGGTCCGAGCGTTCCCACAGACCCGTCCATCCGTCCATCCGTCCATCCGTCCGTCCGTCCAGACCCTGCCGCCTGCCGCCTGCCGGAGGAAGTGACAGCGACAGCGGCAGTGCAGCGCCGCTCTCTGAAATACTAATTAAGCTTAATGTAATGCACATATGCGATAAGTCGCTGGGGTTACTTTGCTCTATCCGAGATTATAACGACTCTGGCTCCGACGCTGGCCTCACACACAATATACTCGTACACTATATATATATACAGTATACAATGCCCCATACACAATATATTTATATTGTATTTAGGTGGCTTGTCAGGCCCGTGATTGATGTGGCGGCTTTTCGTGCAGCTCGCTCTCTGCCATATTTGGTGAAGTCAGAGCCTCCGTTCCAGTCCGATGTCGATGTCGATGTCGATGTCGTATCTGAGTCTGCGTCTCCAACTGCCGCCGTCGACTGCCTCTCTGTGTCGGTGATAAATTGTTGCTCAAACAATGCGTATGTCTTTTCAAAATAAAATCATAAACTTGTAGTTTAAGAACTGAGCAAGTCTCTATACTCGAATATGTACTTTGTGTGGGTCTGGTCTGCGTATGGTTTAATTTATGGAGGAGATTGCCCACGGGCATGGGCATGGACACGGCATGGGCCTATGTGAGTCAGTGCGAACGGATTTTACAATTCGTATTTACTTCTTACGGCGATGAGTTTACTTATTTGTCTACCGAATTACGAGTCTTTTCAGATGGGGGATTAGTCATTAGTTCATAGAATCTAATGACAGTTCTGGGAATATAAGAGGAATGAATCAGTTTTTCACACTCACCAATTATGGTTCGGAAGATGCATGAATATATCATTGATTTTGCTTCTACAGTTTAAAGATTTCTTGACATATCAGTTAAGAACTTATAAACAGAGCAAAGCTGTTCTACCTTCTCCTTCTCTTCGAAGAATAGCATCCCTTACAAACTTACTGAATCTCAAAGATATCTTATCTCTTAGAAGGTAATTAACCCTCTTAAAAGTCATCTTTACTTGATACAAATCTGGATATTCTAATAAAATATATGATCTTTCTTTGATCTGTCCTCTTCGTTGGGTGCAACAGATTTCTCATCCTCCTAAAATTGATTATAGATCACACTCTATCTGTCTTTGCCATCTCATAGATCCCTCAGCGGCCTGCCGCCTGTATCTTTGAATCATCACAGAATGGATCATATAATTTAAATGACTTTTGCATACTTGAAATCTTGACAAGCCATAAATATTTATTATATATTTCTTATTTCATTTTACGACTTTGTACTCATTTCCATTTTGCGATGTGATGCACACACATTTTACCCCATTTAAAAATAATCTAAAAAAAGATGATGGGTTTTAAATGAATGCACAATGGTGGCTCATCTGGCGATTCCGTTTTGGGACCCCCTCAAGTACATAGATGTGTTGCCGCCAGTATCTTATGCTGATTTCATTCCATTTGGCCATTTGACAGACAGACCATCCCCATCCCCATACCCATCCTCATCGATGTCTTTCACGACCCTCATCATAACTCTGAGTCGTAGTTTATTGTATTCTTCGATTCATTTCGTTTCGTTTCGTGTTCGCAGTTCGTTTTGTTTGTTTCCACAAAATTAAATGCAAACAGACTACAACTTTGTGTGGCAGGCGGCGCCCCATATGCATGATGCGATCGAATGTCAAGAAGTTCGGACCGATTCGGCTCTTTTCCGTTCTGTGCCGTTCTGTTCTTTTGGGAACTAAAAGCCAAATAAACAAAACGAGCCAAGTGCTGCGCTGCGCGGCATTGAAATATTTACAATGCACGAGAAAAAATTTCAAACGATTTTTGTGCTAAAAAGAAAATGAATCCGAATTGGGCAAAAGAACAAAGGACCAGAAGAACCAAACACCGAACCAAGACGAGTAATTCAATTAAATTGCAAACATTTTAAGAGCTTTTCGGGACAGCAGAGCAGAGGCCCCAAACGATTCCCGTTGGTCGCCTGCCAGCTCCACCCTCAAAGGCCCACCGACTTTTATCTATTAAAATATACAAATTGCTCTGTGGTGCTCTGGTGGGGTGCTGTGTGGGGCTGTGCCCTACTGTTAGTAGGCAAAGGAAGGTGGAGGGCGTTGCCTCTTGTCGCCCCTGTCACTTCACACGGTCTGCTGAGCATTATAAAGGGGGTGTTGCAAGGTGGAGCACCAGCGGGCCCCGACTACTCGACTGTAGTACGTACCATGCGTCGTCGTAGTCTTTGACATTTTTAAATTGATTTTTTCATCGTCCGACAAAAGCCACATCAGCTCAGGTGTATCCGTTCACACGCCATCTAATTAGTTTTTGTGCGCAGGTGGAGGGATACTACTACTCGTATATAGAGTCTATAGAGGGACTGGGGGCGGGGGCTGAGCCTGAGGGAAGCCACAAATTGGCTTAATCAGCGACCATTTTTCGTTTACAAAATAATTGCTTCTAATTCGAGGCGCGTGTAATTAAAAGTTGCTTCAACCTTAAATGACTTTTTCATTGATCGATTCGAATTCGATTTGGTTCGCTTCGGGGACTGGGTGCTTGGGGCTGGGTGTGACCAGAGCCTGTCTACAAATTGCAAATTGATTTTTATCGATTTCTCATAATCAAAATCAGAATTATTATTGCCCCATGCCCCGTACCTTGTACTCGCGCCATGTACAGAACACAAAATATCACTCGCCTCGTTATTGCTCACGTCTCGGAGTGCGGCTGCCGCCAGTTTCTTGTCTCGAATTGAAAGTTGATTTTACAATTTGATAAGCGTGCGCAAATTACATGAGAGACCTGTCCCGGGGATCGTACCCCGCACACCCCACACCCCACAGCCCATACCCGGCCCCCGTCCCTGGTACGGAACCCACAGACATTGATGTGTTGGCATACGCCTATAAATTTCTTGATTATCAGTCGCTTTTTTAATGAATTTGGAGAGGCCACTGCCGCGGCAGCAGCAGCGACGGCAGCAGCGGCAACTGCCACAACGGGCGCGCCCCATTCAAGTTGTTGAATACGAGTATCTTTTTTTCTCTACGTACAGTGCAACATTGTTTGTTAATGCCATATCTCTCCTGATGGGCCCCGACACGCACAGCCAGCAGCAGATAGACAACTTGGGATGGGCTGCCCCTGCCCCTGCCCGGGCCGCCCATCTTTATGTGCAGTTTGCATGTGAGGCCAGGGCTTCGCCTTCGCTCCAAGGAAGATATAGTCATAGCCAAGAATTAAGAGTTATTAAAAGGTCTTGGCATTTAGCTCAAAGCAATTAAATTATGTTGAAAGATAATTGGAAAGTTGCCTGAAAAGTTCGAAAAGGCCGAAAATGGATTGGAGATAGAGATTGGAATAGCTGGAGGAACAGGAATATTGATTGTGAATATGTAAATAAATGCGAATTTTAACGAATATCTTTTGTATACTCACAGGTCTTAAGACAGATTCTTTGCGTTCCATATAACGAAATTTCTTATATTAAACTTCTGCATAAGTATTCCCCTGATATCTTTCGAGCTTCACTTCTAGCTGTTTGTATTCCTTTGTGTTCCATATATCATAAGCCCACTCAATTTTTTGTGCTGCTCTGAGCTTAATTGTTTGCTGCTTTGAAAGCGGGTTATGTGTCCCTTATAGGGTCGTTAGCCCCATTTGAAGCTCTTACCTTTTGCTGCTGCTGAGCCGGTGCTGCTTTCCTGCTGCTGTCGCCAGAGGCCTTGTCCTTTGTTCCATCGACGGCATTGATATTGATAGCATCGAGCCGATCCTAAGTAGTCCTGGCTTACTTCCTCTTCAGTGCACAGGCACAGCCCTGTGTGGAGAGCGCTGCGAATACGAGCATGGTTGCCCTTTTCATGAGTGACAACGACAACCCTCTCTCTGCCGCTCTCTCCGTTTCCTTTGGCATAAGTCCCTTCTAATTGCTTGCGTAACCTGAGGCGACCACGGTTCCCTGGCTGCGTTCCGTTCCATTCCTGTTCATATTTCAAAATCGTGCTCAATAAAAAAATAAATATTTTTTGTGTTGGTCTCGAGCAAATATTCGCATAATACAAAGAAATATAAAAAATAAACGTGCCTTGGGTCCCCAGACATTTGGCAAAGAGATTTCTACAGCAACAACACACAATTCATGTGCGAATCGTTTCGGGATTGCTATAGGGATTGGGCTAAGGAGTGGGATAGTAGTAGGTAGGTAGGTACCCTGGCTTCGTCGTGGCTTCGTGTTCAGAAATGAATGCATGCCACTTACGAGTTTGTCGCCATTCATTTCATTTGAGTTTTTAAGTTTTCAGTTTTCAGTTTTCAGTTTTGAGTGGTATGGAGTGGAGTGGAGTTCAAACGAGGCGAGACAGGAAACGCGACTTCAACTTCAAACTTGGCTCGAAAGAGGCGCCATGATGCATGATTGAGCATGATTGAGGACTCGGTCTTGCTGCGACATGGAAATTGCACAACACACAGATGCAAATACATGTGTATCTGTATCTGTAAGTGTGTGGCTGTGCTGTGCTGTGGCTCGTTGTGCCATTCTCATGAATGGCTTCGTTTATTTTCAACACGTTACTCAAACAATGTTTTTGGTTTATTTAAATTTCTTTCTTATGGCAACAAGGAAAGCCATGCAAATGCCGTCTGCTTGTATAAGTCGGAATCGCAATCCCCCGCCATATAGCACCCCGATACCATTGCCATTGGGAGGAAGCCCTCGCGCGTTGAGTAAACATTTGAATTTTACATTAAAGTCGGGGCAAAACACTCGCATTTTTTTCTGCTTTTTCTGCCAAGCTTTTTTTTTACATTTTTTCCCTCTCATTATTTAAACAAAACGGCGGCACTGTGCAGAGCAAACAATTCGCTGCGCCCCCCCATATCAACAGGGTTCCCTGCCCTGCCCTGCCACGCCGCGACACGCCATGTGGCCAATCCCTCCTCCTGTTTACTTTTTAAAGCGCCAATGCCACTGAGACTGGAAAAGCGGATGCACAATGCACAGGGAGGCCGAGGCCGAGGCCAGCCCAAAAGATAAAGATACAAAAACGCAATGAAGTTGGCGGTTTTTCGGATGCGGATTCGGGATCGGATTCGGGTTCGGGTTCGGGTTCGGCTTTGGGGTCTGGGGTCTGGGATATCTGGCCCTGGCCTGCATCGAGTTCAAACTGTATGCCAAATGCAAACAGAAATTCGAAATTTAAAACATTTCCCCCCCCCCCCCCCCCAACCACTCCCACCACAGCAGTTGTTGTTATTGTAGTAGGGAGTGAAGTGAGGTTTTGGCAAACACAGGAACTTTGGCTTTACTGTTATAGCAGAATGGAATTTTATTTGCACACGGTATCGGCAAACAAAAGTTGGAAATGGTGGAGAGATTGTAGAGAGACCAGGAGGAGAGGAGGGGGCGTACTGGGGGATGGGAAGACGGGGGAAGTAACAAACCGAACAAGATTTCACGGAGTACGGCCCTTTTCTTGTCTTTTGTCAGAGGAGCAT